TATTTCAATCCGATGAAATAATATTCAACGGCAGAACAGTTCGGTGTCATTTGAAATTGACCATAAATATCGCGCAAATTTATTGCCGATTTGACTTGCAAAATAAACTACTTTCCATCTGTTAAGTGTACCTCAGTGGTGTTTTCAATGTGTTATTTCTGTTCAATTTTCATCCGAATTGAAAACCAAAATAAAGGCAACTTGCGCAGTTGGTGCTATGGATTAGTTTATTTTATATTGTTAATGAAAGGGAAAATGTGAATAAATTTGTCATATATTCTCTAGAGAAATGAATCTGCGAAAAACGACCAGCATTTTTGTTATTCATTAACTGAGAGAAGCGTGGATCACAATTGATATTTACGGCGGCTGTCAGCGAGCGCACCTGAACTGTCTGACTGTTTAGGAGTGACTGGTAGGGAGGACCGGGGGAGTCATGACCTTTGGTAAGTGAATGGAGCAATGTGAGTAAGGGACTGCACTGGAGGGACGCGACTGATGGAATGTGACACGCGGTGAATAACTGGGAAATAATTGGTGGTGAGTGATTGAGTGGACTGGAGGGAACTATGAGGTGACTGGTGGTGAGTAACTGTAAGGTGACTTGTGGTGAGTAACTGTGAGGTGACTGGTGGTGAGTATCTGTGAGGTGACTGGTGGTGAGTAACTGTGAGGAGACTAGTGGTGAGTAACTGTGAGGTGACTGGTAATGAGTAACTGTGAGGTGACTGGTGGTGAGTAACTGTGAGGTGACTGGTGGTCAGTATCTGACTAGCAACCCCACACAGTGCTGGCCACACCCCCACACAGTGCTGGCCACACCCCCACACAGTGCTGGCCACACCCCCACACAGTGCTGACCACACCATACACAGTGCTGGCCACACCCCCACACAGTGCTGGTCACACCCCCACACAGTGCTGGCCACACCCCCACACAGTGCTGGGGACCACACCCCCACACAGTGCTAGGGGCCACACCCCCACACAGTGCTGGGGGCCACACCCCCACACAGTGCTGGGGGCCACACCCCACACCCACACCCCCACACAGTGCTGGGGGCCACACCCCCACACAGTGCTGGGGGCCACACCCCCACACAGTGCTGGGGGCCACACCCCCACACAGTGCTGGGGGCCACACCCCCACACAGTGCTGGGGGCCACACCCCCACACAGTGCTGGGGGCCACACCCCCACACAGTGCTGGGGGCCACACCCCCACACAGTGCTGGGGGCCACACCCCCACACAGTGCTGGGGGCCACACCCCCACACAGTGCTGGGGGCCACACCCCCACACAGTGCTGGGGGCCACACCCCCACACAGTGCTGGGGGCCACACCCCCACACAGTGCTGGGGCCACACCCCCACGCAGTGCTGGGGGCCACACCCCCACACAGTGCTGGGGGCCACACCCCCACACAGTGCTGGGGGCCACACCCCCACACAGTGCTGGGGGCCACACCCCCACACAGTGCTGGCCACACCCCCACACAGTGCTGGCCACACCCCCACACAGTGCTGGGGGCCACACCCCCACACAGTGCTGGGGGCCACACCCCCACACAGTGCTGGGGGCCACACCCCCACACAGTGCTGGGGGCCACACCCCCACACAGTGCTGGGGGCCACACCCCCACACAGTGCTGGGGGCCACACCCCCACACAGTGCTGCTGGGGCCACAGTGCTGGGGGCCACCCCACACAGTGCTGGGGGCCACACCCCCACACAGTGCTGGGGACCACACCCCCACACAGTGCTGGGGCCACACCCCCACCACACCCCCACACAGTGCTGGGGGCCACACCCCCACACAGTGCTGGGGGCCACACCCCCACACAGTGCTGGGGGCCACACCCCCACACAGTGCTGGGGGCCACACCCCCACACAGTGCTGGGGGCCACACCCCTACACAGTGCTGGGGGCCACACCCCCACACAGTGCTGGGGGCCACACCCCACACAGTGCTGGGGGCCACACCCCACACAGTGCTGGGGGCCACACCCCCACACACCACACCCCCACACAGTGCTGGCCACACCCCACACAGTGCTGACCACACCCCCACACAGTGCTGGCCACACCCCCACACAGTGCTGGCCACACCCCCACACAGTGCTGGCCACACCCCCACACAGTGCTGGCCACACCCCCACACAGTGCTGGCCACACCCCCACACAGTGCAGGCCACACCCCCACACAGTGCTGGCCACACCCACACACAGTACCCTCTCCACCCCTCCAACACCGCGCCGGACGCCAGTGTGGGAAGCCGCACCTGTGGTGCTCCTAACAAAACATTTTTCTCACCTCAACACAATTTACAGACAACATGGAAGATGTGCACAGTAGCCAGTGATAAATAACGAGGCATAATAGAGAAAGATGAAAGAAATATTAACACCGTTTGATAGCAGATAAATGTACGAGCACTCGATAACGTCGATGGTATTAGTTAGACCGAACAAATGGTGATACATTGTGATAAAAGACGATAAGTTGTGGTAAATAAAGAACAAACACTTGTTTCAGATGGAAGAAAATGTTTGACAGAAATTAAATTTGTTGACATCTGAGATAAACAAATAAAAATGTTTGTGTTGTGCCGTTTTGTGAGGGAGAGTGTGTGTGTGTTTGTGTTTGTTTATGAATGGCTGCGGAGGATAGGAGGGGTTGATTGTTTGATGTTTGTTGCTGTTTGTATGTTAAGGGAGAGGGGACGGGTTGTATGTCTGGAGAAAGTCATAAGACTCTCCCTCTTCCAGGACCCCGGTCTACTCTCCCTCTTCCAGGACCCCGGTCTACTCTCCCTCTTCCAGGACCCCGGTCTACTCTCCCTCTTCCAGGACCCCGGTCTACTCTCCCTCTTCCAGGACCCCGGTCTACTCTCCCTCTTCCAGGACCCCGGTCCACTTTCCCTCCAGGACCCTGGTCCACTCTCCCTCTTCCAGGACCCCGGTCTACTCTCCCTCTTCCAGGACCCCGGTCCACTTTCCCTCCAGGACCCTGGTCCACTCTCCCTCCTCCAGGACCCCGGTCCACGCTCCCTCTTCCTGGACCTCGGTCCACTCTCCCTCATCCTGGACCCCGGTCCACTCTCCCTCATCCTGGACCTCGGTCCACTCTCCCTCATCCTGGACCCCGGTCCACTCTCCCTCATCCTGGACCCCGGTCCACTCTCCCTCATCCTGGACCTCGGTCCACTCTCCCTCATCCTGGACCTCGGTCCACTCTCCCGCCTGGACCCCGGTCCACTCACTCTCCCTCCTATATAAGCCTAACTGGCTTCATACCCCTCACAAAGGGTGACGATAATCATCGGTGACTGTAGAGGACTCAGCCCTCAGATGGACCATTCATTTGTTTGGGCGTGTTCCCTACGTCAACTATAACAGTTTGTCGGGTGAATAATTCTTGGTCGAACTCCTAGTGCAGGCTGTGGGTACTCCTAGTGCAGGCTGTGGGTACTCCTAGTGCAGGCTGTGGGTACTCCTAGTGCAGGCTGTGGGTACTCCTAGTGCAGGCTGTGGGTACTCCTAGTGCAGGCTGTGGGTACTCCTAGTGCAGGCTGTGGGTACTCCTAGTGCAGGCTGTGGGTACTTCTAGTGCAGGCTGTGGGTACTCCTAGTGCAGGCTGTGGGTACTCCTAGTGCAGGCTGTGGGTACTCCTAATGCAGGCTGTGGGTACTCCTAGTGCAAGCTGTGGGTACTTCTAGTGCAGGCTGTGGGTACTCCTAGTGCAGGCTGTGGGTACTCCTAGTGCAGGCTGTGGGTACTACTAGTGCAGGCTGTGGGTACTCCTAGTGCAGGCTGTGGGTACTCCTAGTGCAGGCTGTGGGTACTCCTAGTGCAGGCTGTGGTACTCCTAGTGCAGGCTGTGGGTACTCCTAGTGCAGGCTGTGGGTACTCCTAATGCAGGCTGTGGGTACTCCTAGTGCAAGCTGTGGGTACTTCTAGTGCAGGCTGTGGGTACTCCTAGTGCAGGCTGTGGGTACTTCAAGTGCAGGCTGTGGGTACTCCTAGTGCAGGCTGTGGGTACTTCTAGTGCAGGCTGTGGGTACTCCTAGTGTAGGCTGTGGGTACTCCAAGTGCAGCCTGTGGATACACCTAGCGTAGGCTGTGGATACTTCTAGTACAGGGTGAGGAATCTCCTAGTGCTACTAGTGTATCACCTAGTACTACTGGTGATACACCTAGTGCTACTGGTGGTACACCTAGTGCTACTGGTGGTACACCTAGTGCTACTGGTGATACACCTAGTGCTACTGGTGATACACCTAGTGCTACAGGTGGTACACCTAGTGCTACTGGTGGTACACCTAGTGCTACTGGTGATACATCTAGTGCTACTGGTGATACACCTAGTGCTACTGGTAATACAGCTAGTGCTACTGGTGGTTCACCTAGTGCTACTGGTGGTTCACCTAGTGCTACTGGTGGTTCACCTAGTGCTACTGGTGGTTCACCTAGTGCTACTGGTGGTACACCTAGTGCTACTGGTGATACAGCTAGTGCTACTGGTGGTACACCTAGTGCTACTGGTGCTAGTGCTAGGTGCTATACACCTAGTGCTACTGGTGGTACACCTAGTGCTACTGGTGGTACACCTAGTGCTACTGGTGTACACCTAGTGCTACTGGTGGTACACCTAGTGCTACTGGTGGTACACCTAGTGCTACAGGTGGTACACCTAGTGCTACTGGTGGTACACCTAGTGCTACTGGTGGTACACCTAGTGCTACTGGTGGTACACCTAGTGCTACTGGTGATACACCTAGTGCTACTGGTGGTACACCTAGTGCTACTGGTGGTACACCTAGTGCTACTGGTGATACACCTAGTGCTACTGGTGATACACCTAGTGCTACTGGTGATACACCTAGTGCTACTGGTGATACACCTAGTGCTACTGGTGATACACCTAGTGCTACTGGTGATACACCTAGTGCTACTGGTGATACACCTAGTGCTACTAGGTGGTGATACACCTAGTGCTACAGGTGTGCTACTGGTACACCTAGTGCTACTGGTGATACACCTAGTGCTACTGGTGATACACCTAGTGCTACTGGTGGTACACCTAGTGCTACTGGTGATACACCTACTGCTACAGGTGGTACACCTAGTGCTACTGGTGATACACCTAGTGCTACTGGTGATACACCTAGTGCTACTGGTGATACACCTAGTGCTACTGGTGATACACCTAGTGCTACTGGTGATACACCTAGTGCTACTGGTGATACACCTAGTGCTACAGGTGGTACACCTAGTGCTACTGGTGATACACCTAGTGCTACTGGTGATACAGCGAGTGCTACTGGTGGTACACCTAGTGCTACTGGTGATACAGCTAGTGCTACTGGTGGTACACCTAGTGCTACTGGTGATACAGCTAGTGCTACTGGTGATACAGCTAGTGCTACAGGTGGTACACCTAGTGCTACTGGTGGTTCACCTAGTGCTACTGGTGATACACCTAGTGCTACAGGTGGTACACCTAGTGCTACTGGTGGTACACCTAGTGCTACTGGTGATACAGCTAGTGCTACTGGTGATACACCTAGTGCTACTGGTGATACAGCGAGTGCTACTGGTGATACAGCGAGTGCTACTGGTGATACACCTAGTGCTACAGGTGGTACACCTAGTGCTACTGGTGGTACACCTAGTGCTACTGGTGATACACCTAGTGCTACTGGTGATACAGCGAGTGCTACTGGTGGTACACCTAGTGCTACTGGTGGTACACCTAGTGCTACTGGTGGTACACCTAGTGCTACTGGTGATACACCTAGTGCTACTGGTGATACACCTAGTGCTACTGGTGATACACCTAGTGCTACTGGTGATACAGCGAGTGCTACTGGTGGTACACCTAGTGCTACTGGTGGTACACCTAGTGCTACTGGTGGTACACCTAGTGCTACTGGTGATACAGCTAGTGCTACAGGTGGTACACCTACTGCTACAGGTGGTACACCTAGTGCTACTGGTGATACACCTAGTGCTACTGGTGATACACCTAGTGCTACTGGTGATACACCTAGTGCTACTGGTGATACACTTAGTGCTACTGGTGATACACCTAGTGCTACTGGTGATACAGCGAGTGCTACTGGTGATGCACCTAGTGCTACTGGTGATACACCTAGTGCTACAGGTGGTACACCTAGTGCTACTGGTGGTACACCTAGTGCTACTGGTGATACATCTAGTGCTACTGGTGATACACCTAGTGCTACTGGTAATACAGCTAGTGCTACTGGTGGTTCACCTAGTGCTACTGGTGGTTCACCTAGTGCTACTGGTGGTTCACCTAGTGCTACTGGTGGTTCACCTAGTGCTACTGGTGGTTCACCTAGTGCTACTGGTGGTTCACCTAGTGCTACTGGTGGTTCACCTAGTGCTACTGGTGATACAGCTAGTGCTACAGGTGATACACCTAGTGCTACTGGTGATACACCCACTGGTGGGTTAATTTTGTTACTACATCTATTGACGATGTTGTGAGACTTATTGATGATGATGTGACACATATTGATGATGTTGGTACACCTATTGATGTTCATTCACTTTTAAGTAATGTTGCACCAAATGACGAAGCAGGTACACCATATAATGTTACTACATCAACAGTTGATGTTTTACACCTTCTACAGTCACATTCACTAAAACTTTTAGAAACCCATTCCTTAATGCTCAACAACCATTGTTCAAGTAATTGTACATGTTATCCATCGACAGATTCATAAAATTTTCTTTGATTTATTCTTACTTATTAATATAGTAGTTAATGAATATACATCACTCTTTCAGAATGGTAATTACATATGAACCTGGTCAGATTTTGGATGGAGTATCATTCCTAAGGCTTTATCCTAAGAGGGTTCTTGACTTTAATAACTGCATACATGTAAAAAAATATGTGCAACATGTGAATGTATTTATAAAGCAACACAACACATCACAACACTCACACACACGCACAGACAAACACACACAAAAACACACATACACACAAAAACACACACAAAAACACACATACACACACACACACACACACACACACACACACACACACACACACACACACACACACACACACACACACACACACACACACACACACACACACACACACACACACACACACACACACACATACATACACACACACACACACACACACACACACACACACACACACACACACACACACACACACACACACACACACACACACACACATATTCTGATATATGTAAATGATCTCCCGGAGGGTATCGATTCATTTCTCTCAATGTTTGCGGACGATGCTAAAATTATGAGAAGGATTAAAACAGAAGAGGACTGTTTGAGGCTTCAAGAAGACCTAGACAAGCTGAAGGAATGGTCGAACAAATGGTTGTTAGAGTTTAACCCAACCAAATGTAATGTAATGAAGATAGGTGTAGGGAGCAGGAGGCCAGATACAAGGTATCATCTGGGAGAGGAAATTCTTCAGGAGTCAGAGAAGGAAAAAGACTTGGGGGTTGATATCACGCCAGACCTGTCTCCTGCAGCACATATCAAGCGAATAACATCAGCGGCATATGCCAGGCTGGCCAACATACGAACTTCATTCAGAAATTTGTGTAAAGAATTATTCAGAACTTTGTATACCACATATGTCAGGCCAATCCTGGAGTATGCAGCCCCAGCATGGAGTCCATATCTAGTCAAGGATAAGACTAAACTGGAAAAGGTTCAAAGGTTTGCCACCAGACTAGTACCCGAGCTGAGAGGTATGAGCTACGAGGAGAGACTACGGGAATTAAACCTCACTTCGCTGGAAGACAGAAGAGTTAGGGTGGACATGATCACCACATTCAAGATTCTGAAGGGAATTGATAGGGTAGATAAAGACAATCTATTTAACACAAGGGGAACACGCACAAGGGACACAGGTGGAAACTGAGTGCCCAAATGAGCCACAGAGATATTAGAAAGAACTTTTTTAGTGTCAGAGTGGTTGACAAATGGAATGCATTAGGGGTGATGTGGTGGAGGCTCACTCCATACACAGTTTCAAGTGTAGATATGACAGAGCCCGATAGGCTCAGGAATCTGTACACCCGTTGATTGACGGTTGAGAGGCGGGACCAAAGAGCCAGAGCTCAACCCCCGCAAACACAACTAGGTGAGTACAACTAGGTGAGTACACACACACACACACACACACACACACACACACACACACACACACACACACACACACACACACACACACACACACACACACACATTTGTAACACAACACCAGCATGGGCTCAGAGATGGCAAATCGTGCCTAACAAGATTAAATGAGTTCTATGACCAGGCAACGAAAATCAGGCAAGAGAGAGAGAAGGCTGGGCAGACTGCATACTCCTGGACTGCCAGAATTGATTTGACACAGTTCCACATAGAGACTAGTGCACAAAATGGAGATGCAGGCAGGAGTGAAAGGGAAGGTATTCACCTGGATAAGAGAGTACCTAAGTAACAGGACACAGCGAGTCACCAGACAAGGATGGATTATTTAACAAGGGTGGTACACGCACAAGGGGACACAGGTGGAAGCTGAGTACCCAAATGGACCACAGAGATATTAGAAATAACTTTTTCAGTGTCAGAGTAGTTAAAACATGGAATGCACTAGGAAGTGATGTGGTGATGGCTGACTTCATACACAGTTTCAAATGTAGATATGACAGAGCCCAGTAAGATCAGAAATTTGTACATCAGTTGATTGACGATTGAGAGGCGGGACCAAAGAGCCAAAGTTGAACCCCGCAACCACAACTAGGTGAGTTCAACTAGGTGAATTCAAACAAACACACACACACACAACTCGACACACCACGCAACACAATACACCCCAACACATACAACACAACACACAAAGAGAAGGACAGCAAGTGGCTACAAAATGACCTACAAAATCCAACGAGTGGCTACTAGAGTTTAACTCGAGCAAGTGCAAAGTGATGAAGATAAACTTAGGGACCAAAGAGCCGAAACTCAACTCCCGCAACCAAAACTAGATGAGTACAAGTAGGTGAATATACACAAAGACAACCCAACACTCACCCCAACACACAACACCCTCATCATCACACAAATAATACAACACCCACAACAATATAGGGTGAAAGGTCAGTGTGAGGTGTCGAGGGTCAAGGACACCACATTTCACCCTAACTGCTTCACCACTTCAATCCCATAACGCAATTACTCTCCCTGCGCAAGTGGAATTAACGAGAGGGTAAGAGTGGAATGGAAAGCAAGGACAGGAGGGAGGAAGGCCGAGGAAGAGGGAGGGAAGAGAGAACGAGAGTTAGGAAGAATGAAGAAGGGAGAATGAGGGTAAGGATGGAGAGAGAGAGAGAGAGAGAGAGAGAGAGAGAGAGAGAGAGAGAGAGAGAGAGAGAGAGAGAGAGAGAGAGAGAGAGAGAGAGAGAGAGAGAGAGAGAGAGAGAGAGAGAGAGAGAGAGGGAGAGAGAGAGAGAGAGAGAGAGAGAGAGAGAGAGAGAGAGAGAGAGAGAGAGAGAGAGAGAGAGAGAGAGAGAGAGAGAGAGAGAGAGAGAGAGAGAGAGAGAGAGAGAGAGAGAGAGAGAGAGAGAGAGAGAGAGAGAGAGAGAGGAGAGAGAGAGAGAGAGAGAGAGAGAGAGAGAGAGAGAGAGAGAGAGAGAGAGAGAGAGAGAGAGAGAGAGAGAGAGAGAGAGAGAGAGAGAGAGAGAGAGAGAGAGAGAGAGAGAGAGAGAGAGAGAGAGAGAGAGAGAGAGAGAGAGAGAGAGAGAGAGAGAGAGAGAGAGAGAGAGAGAGAGAGAGAGAGAGAGAGAGAGGAGAGAGAGAGAGAGAGAGAGAGAGAGAGAGAGAGAGAGAGAGAGAGAGAGAGAGGAGAGAGAGAGAGAGAGAGAGAGAGAGAGAGAGAGAGAGAGAGAAGAGCTAGAGAGAGAAGAGAGAGAGAGAGAGAGAGAGAGAGAGAGAGAGAGAGAGAGAGAGAGAGAGAGAGAGAGAGAGAGAGAGAGAGAGAGAGAGAGAGAGAGAGAGAGAGAGAGAGAGAGAGAGAGAGAGAGAGAGAGAGAGAGAGAGAGAGAGAGAGAGAGAGAGAGAGAGAGAGAGAGAGAGAGAGAGAGAGAGAGAGAGAGAGAGAGAGAGAGAGAGAGAGAGAGAGAGAGGGAGAGAGAGAGAGAGAGAGAGAGAGAGAGAGAGAGAGAGAGAGAGAGAGAGAGAGAGAGAGAGAGAGAGAGAGAGAGAGAGAGAGAGAGAGAGAGAGAGAGAATACCGTAAGGTGTGATGGGACTGTAGTAAGAAGAAAGTGGGCAACATCGTAAAGAGAAGAAAGGGAGATGAAATGATGTAAAGTATTTACTTTGAAACAGAAACGGCAGTTGTGTTCTCAAGTCTCTGATTATTAAAGTTTGAATGTACTCACTGATGTGCATCTTAAGTTATAGTGTCTTGAGGTAGTCTAAGAGTTCACACTGCTGCTTCAGCTTATAGTTAGTATGTGTCTTGAAGGTTATCCAATAGTTCCAACAATTGCTTCATCTTACAGTTAATTTGTGTCTTTCATCAAACCGAGGGTTGAGCGCGAAAATTATCCCTCATTGCTTCCCTTGATCTCCTCTCATTCAAGAACCGTTTCTGGCACAAAATGTAAATAAAAGACTAATATTTCAATTTTTCTTAGATAATGCTCTCGAATTTTAATAACTCTGAATTTGCAATAAACTCTTAAAACAAAAAAGTATGTAAACTGAACGAAGATCATTCTCTTTTATAAGTCATGATTGATCCTTTAGAGGGCCCCAGTTCTGAAGGCCACTGAAAAAATTCCACATACAGTTTTTCTCTTCATTTCTGTCATGAGAAAGAGACAGGAGTGAAAACCAGACACAAAGAAAGACAGACTGACAGGAGCACAGAGGGACAAAGTTTAGAGTCAAGACCCCACCTGAGACCTGTTCGTCATTTCATCAAGAAAAAGTCTTTGTTCTGCCGGTTAGCATGTTAATGCCCTGAGCCTACTTCCTACCCTAAAGCCCAATTTGCCCTTAGTGTAGCTAGTGCATTGGTTCTTTGGAACCATTGTACTAGCTTTGGATTGGAAACTGGATTGTTTCTCACGATGTTGACGAATTACTGTCCAGACTTTGTAACTGGAAAGATGACCCCATCTTGTGCCTCAAATAACTCTATACTCTCACATGCGAAGAGCTGTGATACATTGCGAAGGAATAAAATATAGAGTAAGTTAAATAGTTATACAAAGTAAAAACGAGAAGGCACTCTCATGCATTCACATCTCTATCACTCAAAAGAATTAAAATTAAAAACTCTCTCTCTCTCTCATTCACCCTCCTACTCTTGCGCTGTCTACCATTCAACCTCCCTGTTTCCCATTTTCCATCCCTTCCATTCTCCCTCTCGTTTTCTCCTGTAATCTCTCCCGTTTTTCTCTCCCTGTGGGCAAAACTGGCTCAAATAAAAGAGCTTCGAACTCACACAC